GGAAGGGGAGAGGAAGGGGAGAGGAAGGGGAGAGGAAGGGGAGAGGAGGGAAGACAAGGAGGGAGGAGATCTCTTGTTTCAGGAATCACAGGACTGGCATGGCTTCATCAATTTAAGGCTTCCTTATGTCTGGATCTGGGAAGTTCTCATATAGCAGGTTTCATTCTCTTAGTTTAAGCTTATATTACTGTGTGGGTGAGGTGCTCTAAGTATTGGGTAGCCCATAAAAAGAGAGAGTCTTTTGCAGATGAAGGATCTAACAGTGAAGGGAGTTAGTTCACTGGCTGGAGACCTTCCTATACCACAGATTTCCTGTGTCACCTTGGATAAATCTGTTATTTGTGCTTCAGTCCTCGAAATGCAAATGTTGGAAGGTGCCACTTGTTCGTGCAAAAGGCATGTCAGGAGAGCAACAGGCAAAACTGAGGTGGGAAGGGGATTTGTCCTACTACTGTAGGTATTTCTGCATCCAGGCTGGGTGCATAAAGCATCATCACAGGAGCAGGACCCAGCTCAGAAGGGTCTCAATGTGAAGACCATGTTGGTAGGACATCAAGGACAAGCTCCACTGAGTTGTCTAGGGAAGAATGTTGCTGGATGATTGCACCCATGGGAAAGAAGGACTAGGAGGTGAGAGTCCTTCTTTCAGGAAAGAAGCGAGGAGAAATGAAAATAATAGCTTGGAGAAGGAAAAAAGGCCAGAGGCTGTCCACTGGGAAGTTTTGGTGTCTGCTCTCAGCCACTGGTGGGTGTGGGACCCCAAAAACCTGGCATGGTTGCACCCCAGCAAGCTTCCCATCTGCGAGACAGGGCCAGCTTTTGTCCTGTGCCCAGCCTGGGGGCACAGCACTGGTATTGTCCCAGGACTGCCTGGGAAAATGGGAGGGGTTCCCCATGAAACCTTTCCATAGAGCAAAACAGCGTCAGAGCTAGGAATGGGGGGGTCAGGGCAGACACCAGAAAAAACACACACACAACGGGCAAACAATACCGGCAGTGTGCTGAGGGAAAGGGAGACCCATGAATTGGGAGTTTGATAAGGATTTTCTCCCGCGCGCACCCGCTCTCTCAACAGCCCCTTCAGTTTTCCTGGCACCCCCCTCCTTCCCCTTGCCTACTTGCTTGTTTGGGCCTCAAACAGTGCGCTGCCTTTGTTCGGGATACAGGTGAACGGCCATCATGTGATTCACGCACACGCGCGCGCGCACATAAAAAGGTTTTTCAGAGCGCCCAGCTCGCCTCAGACCCGAGGACGGGAGAGGAGACCTGGGCTGGGAGCAGCAGGGAGAGCACCCATGGAGGTGGGCGCATGGGGTATGTGGGTCTTGGGGTCAGGGTGGGGGTCCGGGGGTCTTGTTCTTCCAACCTTCTGTGGGCATGGGTTGACATCTGGTGTGGAGTAGAGAGGGGCTGCCGAAGCTGAGCACTCATCCCTCCCCAGCTTCCATGTGGCGTGAGCATCCTCACTGGCATCCTCGCTAAGAGTGAGGCTTGCTGGTCCCACTGTGGATGGAGGGGAGAGGCAGGTGGTGAGGAAGAGGAGGGTGGAACTCAGAGGATGGAGAGTGGAAGATGGAGGATGGGGAATGGAGGATGGAAGGTGGGTGGAGGGTGGAGAATGGAAGATGAAGGGTAGAGAGTGAAAGATGGAGGATGGAGAATGGAGAATGAAGGGTGGAAGATGGAGGATGGAGAATGGAAGGTGTAGGGTGAAGGATGGAGGGAAACCTCCTGCTGTAAATATGTGTCTTCAGCCCCTTGAGGTCATGCTATCAGGATCTAAATGTATTTACTCTCTCCCCTCAGTCAGGAGGGAGAAAGAAAGGAGAGAAGGACCAGAAAATCCAATGGTGGGAAGGTAGGGGATGTGGGGGATGGTTGGCACCTGCTGGAAATCTCCATGCCCCAGCCAGAAATAGTGTGTCCAGCCTCTTCAATGAGCACTGCACATCCCCTTTGATGTGGAAGTGTCATGAGGCCCTCTCACACCTCATCACCATGACCATGAAATAGATGGGAAGTGACATGGCTCAGTCCTGAGGTGAAAGTGGAAAGAGGAAGGCATGAGAACAGGAGAAAATGGCAAGGTTTCAACCGGTTACTCTTCTAATTCAAAGGTTGCCTGAGTGTGATGCTCAAGAGAAAAGTAGAGAGGAGCAAAGACAGAGGCTAACATTTCATGATGATGCTCAGAAAATATATGGGTCTGTGGCTGGCCTCACTCGTGAGACATCATGGGACTTGATTTATGGCAGCCTGGATGAGATCAGGACCTTATGTTTGCTGGGGCTCCAAAGGCCAGCCTCATCTCTGCCACTTCCTTGTGCCTCACTCTCAAATGCCTCCCTGACCTAATGTCACCAAGCAAATAGTGTGAAGGTAGCTTTGAAGGCCTTTCCATAAACAGGAGAAGCAGAGGGACCCCATATCCCATGCTTCATGATGCTGCAGCAGTTGTGATTTTCTGTTGCAGGGGACAAAGGAGTATGAAAGCCACCCTGAATTTGATCAACCACCGTCACCAGCACGAACAAAAAGTCCTTCAGTTCGCTTTGTGCCATAAGAGTCTTCACAACTGGGAACTGGGCATGGGAACCATAGCTGGGCTCTGGTCTTCATCACACCTCATCAATTTTGGCTGAAGCTCCCAATACTGATCTTAGACCTTCCCATGTGACTCTTGGCTCTCGCCATCAGGAGACTCAGTGAGGCAGCCCAAAGAGGAAGGAAATGGCATGGGTCATGCAGAAAAATCAGAGAGCTGACTGCAACCCATTCTGGGTTTGGCAGCACTGCACCAGGAGGCGCATCCATGTGGCTGCAAGACAGTTTGCTGTGTTCCCCATTGCTGGGGAACCAAAGGAACATGGAGTTGATAATTGCATGGTGGGCTTGTTTTTTTGCTTCTTAGATCCAGTGTCCTGGGTGGTGGCTGCCTTCCTCCATAGTTACTGACAAGGAGTGGGTGATGCCAATGGCATGTGGCCCTGTCTTTCATCACCCCAAGATGAGAATTCTAGGGAAGCTTGGAGCTGCAGGAATCCTCTTGGAAAGCAGAAAGGGCAAGCACCTCAGAGCATTGCAAATATACCAGGCAGCTCCTGGTCCAACATCTGATCCAATTCTTCATGAACATGGGGAGAATTGGTAATGGTAACGCTATGCAAGTCCTTATTGTCCCTTGGACAATTTCCTGCATTACCAGGGCCTGGAAAGATCAAAGAGTAGCAAGGCCTGGCAGGTCTGTCAGCTACCTGCTTTGATGGGTGGCAGACTATTAACCCCCTCACCTCCTAACCAAGAGGCCAGGTGTAATTCCAAAAAGCAAATCCTAAAAAACAAGTATTGAAGGAATAAGGAGATGGGGGAGAAAAAATTGTTTTCTTAGGTAGAGTCTTCCATGTTCAACGTGATACAATGGAGGGAACCGAGTGCTCTGTGACTGCGTGACCAAGGAGGGATGCCGGGGGGGGAGAAGAAAGGAAATGAGTACTCCTAAATACGTGTGGGCAGAATGACCAGAAAAGGAGACTCTCTCAAGGAATCCTTTGGTTGTAACAGTGCTGGGTGACCCCTTTGGACTCATACAGTGGAGGCCAAGGTAGCTCTGGGAGGACTTTCAGCTCCAACAACCCAGTGGCAGCAGGGAAGCTCCTGGGGAGACGGGGGAAGGGTTAAATCAGGAAGGCTTCAGCCCGCTGCCTTGGCCCCTGTAATTCCTCCAGAGAGTAGGACTGGGAGAACAAGGAGCCCATTCTGTTCGCAGGAATTAATAGCAAGGAGTCATCTGGGGTGTCATTCAAGCCCTGATCAGCTCCCAGAGGAATGTGAGGGAGAGCGAGCGAAGGAGCACGGCCCCAGGCCGAGGCACCAAAGCCAGGGCAGGAGCATTTGGGCTGGTAACCAGAGCTACCAGCCGGCATTTGAGTGGCGGGACCCCAACCTTTGCATCCCCTCTGCCCCCTGAGCCCATACAAAGGGCTCCCACCAGCTCCTAGCTTGGGGACTGGTTTCCAGTTCTTTTGTCCCTTGTTCCCCATCCATTTCACGAGAAGGAAGATGTCTCAGCCCACCAGCACCATTGTATCCCCTGCACCATGCCATGAGACCATCAGAAGTGGTTTTGTCTTTGCAAACAAGCTTGGCCAGAAGGAGCCCATAAGCACATCTAGGGATGTGGGTAGTTCAGGGGACTGTAGAGTTCAGAGCTTTGCCACCACATCATTTCTCCCAAAGTGACCATTGTCACTGCAACAAAAGACCAAGCCTGCAAATTAGCACGTCCATGTTACATTATTTTGCTCCGCAGTCACAAAGTGAGGCTTGAAAGCACTGCGTGGTGACCGTGCAGCATTGCCTGTGATGCAAACCTGCTTCCACAAGGCAAGGAGAGATTTTGGCCACCTCTATCCTGGCCTGGAAAGGGAATCTCAAGGTGGCCAACCTGCCGCTTCTCTGCCTGGCTGCACTGCAAGTTCACACCTGCTGGCACAAGGTTTCCCAAGGCTCCAATGACACACCCAGGTTGGCAGGGCCACCATAGGGCTGATGGGATCTGCAGGGCAATCCTTCAGACCAGTCCTAGGCAGGACTAAATATCAGTACAGCTCCCCAGCATGGCACTGAGCACATGTTGGGTAAAAGATGACCCACGTAGAATGGAACAGAGCTGCACCGGAGTGCACAAGTTGCTTTTATTGGCACACAGCTGGTAGCCAAAATGCATCCCACTAAAGCTTTCCTTCCTTCCCATGTGCCTCAGGTTGCTGTGAAAACGGATTTAAGTAATAGCTCAGCATCTCAGCATCCTACAGGAGATGTGCGGTGCCTCTGGGATGGACTTCTCTGCCCCCTCTCCATTCCCTGTGCCACCACCGCCACAATAAGGACCCCTTGTCGTAGAGGGGTTAATAAATGATGCAAGAAAGGAGCCCTTTAATGCACAGTGACCTCTGGCCTTTCATAAATCACAGTGTTGGGCTGCGAGTGCGCGGGGGGCACAAGGCAGTGAGGGGAGAGGATGGGAGGGGGTCCATGCAGCTGCGCCACGGAGTTGACATTGTTCCCACCATCACTAAAGTGCAACAAATCCCTCTATTGTGTTCCTGGTTTATCTGGTTCCTCTTGTTTATTAGCAGAGGTTGTTTGGCGCTGGCTCCAGCCCTGGGCGGGTGGAAAGAGTGTTGGCACGCACCAGAGGAGGGGAGGGAGGGAGTGGGGGGGACCGGGACGGGAGGACGAGAGCAGCTCATCAATGGCTGTATTGTCCCATCTTTTTTGTTGCTCCTGTAATGATATGTTCGAAAAAAAGGGGATTAAATTAAAAAAAAAAAAAAAAAAAAAAAAAAAAAAAAAAAAAAAAGAGAGAAATAGAGGGGGAGGCGGGGGGAGACGAGAGACGGAAAAAAAAAAAAAAAGCAAACTGCACAGAAAGACGGGGTAGGAATGGCCGGTCTGGTCTCGCAGCGGATGCTGCTGCAGCTGGGGAGGATGGGTCGGGACGGAGCCGCGACGGGGCCGCTCTCTGCCTTTATGCTGCTTATTCACGTCAGGAGCCATCAGCCCCAGTGCCCACCCTTGCCAACTCTATTCATTGGGGTTTTGGGGGTGAGGGAAGCAGGAGGAGGACTGTTCTCCGCATTCCTCGAGATTGAACCTGCTTTTGTCACCCTGACTAAACTAGATCGCAAAACCACTGCAGCCACCACTGCAGCTTTGCTCATCTTCGCTTTGCTTGTTGCTACCTGTGGAAATGAGCTGATGCAAACATTGCTGAGAAGTACACAGTGAAAACTCCACTGTAAACAGCTATACTGAAGTGAGGGAAATATATTCAGATGAGTGAAATTTTTCCTGGGGTGCTCGAGGATGAGTTTAGTTCATCTCAGGTTTTATTCCAACCACAGTGACATTGTTTGAGTGAGACATCTCTACCACATTTCTGCTCCAATGATTCACAGAATCATTTTGGTTGGAAAAGACCTCTAAGATCACCTGGTCCAACCTTCAGCCCACCCCCACCATGCCCACTGACCATGTCCTCAGTGCCACATCCACACAGTTCTGGAACACCTCCAGGGACGGTGACTGCACCACCTCCCTGGGCAGCCTGTGCTGCTGCAGCACCGCTCTTTTGGAAAAGCAATTTTCCCTAATACCCAGCCTGAACCTCCCCCAATGCAACGTGAGGCCATTAACTCTCACCCTATCATTGTTACCTGGGAGAAGAGGCCACAGCCTCCTTTCAGGTCATTGTAAAGAGTGATGAGGTCTCCCCTGATCTCCTCTTCTCCAGACTGAACATCCCCAGTTCCCTCAGCTGCTCCCCATCAGACTCGTGCTCCAGACCCCTCACAGCTCTGCTGCCCTTGTCTGGACACACTCCAGGGCCTCCATGTCTTTCTGGTAGTGAGGGGCCCCAGCTGAACAAAGCACTCGAGGTGCAACCTCACCAGAGCACAGAGGGATGATCACCTCCCCACTCCTGCTGGCTGAACTACTTCTCAGACAAGCCAGAATGCCACTGGCCTTCTTGGCCACCTGGGCACACTGCTGGATCAGCCGGCTGTCAAACAACACCTCCAGATCCTTTCCCTCCACTCAGCATTCCAGCCAATTCTGTCCCAAGCCTGTAGAGATGCAAGGGGTTGTGATCAAAGTACAGGACCTGGAACTTGGTCTTGTTGAAGCTCACACAGTCTCACACAGTTGGCTTCAGCCCATCAATCCAGTCTGCCCAGATCCCTCTGTAGGGCCATCCTACACTCAGATAGATGAACATTTCCTCCCAGTGTGGTGTCATCTGCAAACTTACTGAGGGGGCACTTAATGCCCTCATCCATATCATCAACTTAGATATTGATGATCCACCATCCTAGAGGTGTCACCTATGGGAATGCTGACCCAGGCATGAGCTGGAGCTCTGCTGTGTGGGGCTCTCAGCATCTCAGAGAGGTGCAAGGGGATCCAAGTCACAACACTATTTTCCCATGCCCAGGTTTGAGCACCATCCAAGCATCCTGGGCTGATGAAACCTTGACTTCCTTCAACTCTGTCTGCCACAGCACGATTACCACTAATGAAATCTCTACCAGGAAAGCTGGGTGAATAATGGAAGCTCTGGTTCAGAAGATGAGATGAAAAAAATATAGACAAATCACTGTGGTTGAATCAAGAAAGCCTTTTTTATTATTATTATTAAGTAGCATAAGTCAGAGATTGAAACATTCTACTGAAATTGAAACAGCATGCTTTATTTTGTGGTTATTATCTTGTATTTGACCTCTTATCTTTCAATCTGGGTCAAGATAATGCCAGTTTGAAATGAAAAGTCAGAAATTCTCTTTCAAAACATCCATTCATAACATTTTGGCATTTGGAAAACAGAATAATTCAGAAAGACCATCTTGAAGTGAAATGTTTTGATATTTTAAATATCCCCCTCCCACTCCTGCTGTCCAGCTAAAACTGCTGGTTGAATTAGAACTGGGTCTGCATCTTTCATTCCCCTGAAATCCTCATTCTTGGCAAACTGTTCGCCACTAAGCTCTTGTCACCCCCACCTTCGGATGACGCCACATCCCCTGGGAAGCGTTAGGGTCTCCACAAAGTGCTGAGCTGTGTCTGGATTCGTGGTGTCCCCTGGTCCCATTTTGCTGCAAACGATGTGGGGACCAGTGGCAGGCCTGCCATCGAGCTGTGCCATTCACTCCCTGCACATCACGAGGCCCGGTGCTGACACAACTGTAGCTTTGTGGTCTTAAGAACTAAGGCCATTACTCATGTAACTGGAGAAGAGGAGGCTCTGGGGAGACCTTATAACTTTCTACAGTGACCTGAAAGGTGGTTGTAGCAAACTGGGGGTCAGCCTCTTCTCCCAGGTAACAGCGATAGGATGAGAGGACACAAGTGCCATCAGGAGAAGTTCTTGTTGAATATTAAGAACAATTTCCTCTCCATAAGAGCAGTGCTGAAGGCAGAGGCTGCCCAGGGAGGTGGTGCAGTCACCGTCCCTGGAGGTGTTCCAGAGCCATGTGGATGTGGCACTGAGGGACGTGGTCAGTGGGCATGGTGGGGGTGGGCTGTCAAGTTGAACTGTATGACCTCAGAGGTCTTTTCCAAACTTAATGATTCTGTGATCCTATTTTGATATCGCTCTTCTTCTATGTATACAGCAAGTGAGCCATCCCAATGGCCATGCAGAGATGAGCCAAGTATGGTGTAAGGATTGTAGAGTTGTCATCAGCTTCCCTAGCACTCATTTCAATAACATTTCAGCTCCTTACCTCCTCCTCTGCTCATCTCACTCTTCCGCCCCTGCTAAGTCCAATCCGCTTCTCCATTACAGGAATCCTCCTCAGACCCAGTGCTGTCTTCCACCAGTCAAATGCTGTACATATCCAGTATGTACCACCATGGGATAACACAGTGTCATCTGAATGAGCTTCATGTACCCTCTCTCTTGAGTGAATAATTCCAACCAACAGCTGGTATCATTTATGTTCACATAGTAAATCCAAGCCTGCCTGCCTGAGCCTTCCTCCAGTCCAGTGGGAGAAGATTTGTAGGACTTCTGGATTACCAACTTGAAGAGTGGGTCACACAACAGATGCTCCCAAGAGCATTCAGTGGGTAGCAATGAGAAATTACCAGACTACCTCCAGACTGTGCTTGCAAAGCACTGTAGTTTGCAGCAGGGAGAACTTCTCCTTCCATATGGATAATGGAAGAGCAAGTAAGTTTTCATCACAGACATGAAGAGGAAACCTTCAGCCCAGAAAGAGTGAGAGACCTTCCTTGGACATTTAGTTCTCAACTATGCTGGCAGTGGGCCTGACTGGTTTCGGCGGCACCCCTTCAGGCAGGGACAGGACTGTCACAGTCTGAGCTCACTCCAGTTTCTTTGTCTCTCTGGTGCTATTCCCACAGAGCATGCCTCACTTTTTCAAAGATTTGATCCCATTCACAAGTCTTCTGTTGCTCTCCAAAGAGAAAACAGACAGCAGACTCCTTTGAGAGCTTAGAAATTCTCTAGGGAATCTGGGTACCCAAGTGAACACATCCTAAACTTTAGAAGATGCGGTTATTGATAGATGCTGCCTGGAGAAATCCAGTATGCTCATGATTCTGAGTCCATAGAACTGTCAGAGCTTCTAGTTGTTGGGAAAATCACTCCAAACCAAGGGAAGTTCAGGGAATTCACTTGTCTACCAGCAAGGGTATGTGAATTTCTAATTGAGTGCCAGCATTGGAATAGAAATTCACAGCAAGCCCAGACCAGGTCTGGGTATATTTGGGACATTTTACAGCCAAGTGTCAGTCTAGAAGCACTCCAGAGAGGAATGTAAGCCCCACACCTCCATGGTGAGTTGCACCCTGCGTGTTTTTCTCAGAAGAGAAGGATACTCATCCAGTCGCCCCCAGGACACACAAGGTGGTGACAAGAGGAGCATGGCACTGGCACAGAGCATCCCAGCCCAGATGGCACAGCTGAACCTGCTGAGGGTCAGGGAGCCCCGACACTGCTGGCTGTTTCTGTCTCATGTCTCCCTTCCTCTCCAGCCTCATGGGGACTCTCCCCTGGCCACCAACGTGGCCCCTCCATTGGGATACCCTCACTCGCTTGTGCCTCAATTGAAGCATGAGAATTTCTCCCTTGTTTGTACAATCATCTTGCTTTCCCCCCTCCCCAGCCATCAGAATCCTCCTTCCCTGCCTCCCTCCTCCTCCTTCCCGCTGCCTCCCCCTTCTCTCCCTGGAACTTCCCTGCAGCTGCAGAGCTGGCCAGACAATCGGGTGTTTTAGAGAAATACATTTTTGGGCTAATTTGCCATGCATAAGTGTTTCTCTTACCCTTTAAAGGCAGGGAACAAAGAGTACATTCTCCACAAGCTCTGCCCTGTTGTGAGCAGCCCTGCAGCTGTACAGCGCTGTGCTACC